TGTATCTTGTGTATTCACGTTATGAATCATGGCAATTGATAACTTTAGACTGCTTTACTGGACAGGTACATGTCTCCCATCGACACTTATTCTTGCAGTGTGAGTTAGATGTATGCATTTTACATGACCTAACAATTAAAATCATCGATAAGTTGGGGGAAATGGTATCAAAAACAGGGATACATATAGGGGGATTCTTGATAATAAGAGCGGATCCATACGCAAGGCTGTGTGCTGGCACAAAGGAGGCCCGCATTATAAAGGGGTGTGCACAAAGTAAAGAATATGTATATGACATTTTGTAATAATAGGTGTACAGTACCTAGCTATGAAGTTTACGAGACCTTAAAGAGGGTCCTCAATCTTCGGGGGTGCACGCATCGAAGGGTGGGTGTGTATTTATAAATCTCCAAAATAATTGTGCAAATAAGCGTGGTTGTTTTAAAACAAATGTTATTTAACCAAAAACTAAAATTCTGACTAGGCCTATTCCCCTCATTAGGTGGACCATTACGTGTCGCCTTATCATGTCAAAAATTCATCTTTCATCATAGATGGTAGTCCGCGATCAATCAACGTGACCTTAAAATCCGAAGATAGCAGTGCTTGCAAATAAATTACCTAAGACCGCGTCTTCCAAGACTGCAACACGTAAGATCGCATCATACAATAGCGCATCTTTCAACATTGCGGTGTGCAAGATCATTTAGTCCGAGGTCGCGATGTGCTGTACACTCAATTGTATGACTAACACCGATTATAAAACTAATACTTAGTCGCAACATAATTATGGTCCATTCTCTTTGATTCGCTTTACAGTACATTAATCTAGGTCACGAACGCAACTTTCTTACTTAAATACCAAAACAATAAGTGTAAATGTCATAAGGGGACCAATTGAAAGTATATATATGAAGCATGTTCTGATCTAAGCAGCTTGTACACCTTTTCAAAAAATTATATGAGGAAGAAGCTTTGTAACTATTGACCCTATCATAAGGGTTTAAATCCTTTTATATCATTTAATAAATTCCGAAAAATAAGACCACGACATTAATTACCTACTGTAGTATTATATTCTCATTTTGGATTACAAGTATTTGAGCTTAGAGACCGATATAAACGTCAATTGCGTTTCTGTAATCCTTTATTTTACCAAACAAAAATTCGCAGCTCGCCTGAATATTTTTCAGTTGTTACATTGATGCTGACATGTGTGGATTACATTACCTCTTCGTAACTGATGGGTGGTAGCTATCTGTAGTAATCGGATTACCTACAATGTCTCGGTACGCTGGTGACACTATATATAGTGTCAAATGACGTCAAGATTACGCGTTAGTAATTATGGCTACCGAGTTGAAAGATTTAATATAGAAGACGACGAGATACGCATCGTCGTCATCTTTAGGAATAAAGTGAGAGGTTTCGGCTAACTCTGCCCTCGTTGTCCGACTTAATGTCTGAGATCGATGGGGTGACCCGAAAAGCAATCATACTTATATCATAATTTCGTTTCACATAAATGATAAATATTACTCGAAGAATCACTGGGAAAACTTCAGATGCATTAGGTGAGGGACAGGAATTCTTACCAGCTTTACTTTCCGATCAATTTATACATCTAACACACATTTCGACTCTGATCATCCCTTTTGCTAAGTTCTCCGGCTTAATAATGTCGTAAATTAAGGAGTAAAATTTACTGTTACCATGTATTCTTGCCAAACTCAGCAATCTGTTCGAGGACGAGATAAGCGTCCGTCAGTTTTCTGCTCACGTAAGAAGCACAACTTTTATAACTCCTAGTATGATGAGAGTGCTTTTTTTACCGACTCGTCATGTTTTCTTAGGATCAATAGGACCCCGATGTTGTGAGCCTGATCAGGATAATGTATATCGGTTTTATATTACTTCTAGGTGAAACATATAGGTCTTTAGCAAGCTATGCGCATGATCCTGCCTAACTTCAAAATGCAGCGAGGTTTCATAAATCTGATTCTGTAGTACAAATAAAAAAGGTAAAAAAATTGCTGTTATTTTAAGTTCCGATACACTTTCGCCGGTCAGAAAAACATTTTATTTGATCTTGCAACGATTGCGGCTCTAAGCGAGTTATAGCTTTTAATAAGTCCCATTTAAAGAAACGTTGCAATAAACACATGAGTCGTAAAGCTACACGCGTAATGGTCAATCTTAGAAAGTGCAGTAAAATTTGCGTGTGCAAATGCTTCTTGCTTTTTCTCGTCCAAGATGCGGCGGTCATAGGTGCCGGTTTTTAATTCAATGACTTAATTGCACAAAACGTTTATCCGAATCGTTTTCATGTACTGAAATATTATGAGGACTTTTAATTGGATTCTGTCTGAAGGAGTGGTATCAGTAATTTAAATATTGTTTTGGTGTCCACAAATGCTCATATTTTTTTTCTTAAAAACAAATCCCCTCTTAATAGACCTGCTGGTAAAGCAAGATTATTTGATCACGCGGCGCGGCAGGTGTCATGAGTACTAAAGGTGTCAAATACTGCTTAAAATATAATGAGCCCATTTCAAGGCAAATTATAATACCTACAACTTTTTTAATAAATGACGTCATAAATAATGAAAAAAGTGACTTGGTGTGTCAAGATCTTAGCCTCAATACTTATTTGTATTAAATACCATAGTGGTCGAATTTGGTGACTCAATTGACGACAGAAGCTTCAGGTTCCCACGTCGATTACTCTCCACCTTGGCAAGAAATGATATAGATTGCTGTGGGTTAAAGCGCAAGTGCTATTAGGTGTCATTACACACCTATTAAATATAATTAGAAAGGGGTGCGTCCATCCGTATATATTTCTGCTTTCATTTACTAAAAACGAAATATATTTGACGCACGCGGACTTCTGATTTTCATAACAAATATTACCTATACTTCAACTATGCTCCTTGGAATATAGTATTTTAGCAAAAACATGAGACTTACAAGCTTAAAACTTGTACAGCGCTGTTCAACATATATACATGCAGTCGTCCCTTGATATAAAAACTCCTATTGAGGGTAAAAAGTGGAAAATTGAGGAACCTCGTGTCCTGGACCAAGCCGCTTCACTTCGTTTTTGAATTGTGACTCCGATTGGGACACTTGAGAAGCAGGGTAACAAAACAGCATGCACCAATCACAAGTTTCACCTCTCGATTAAATTACCACATTCATGCGTTGTCGATCATTTTGCACATTTACTTCCGTTCCACATCAAACATGTCGACAAAGTTAACAATTCTCACGATGGAGCAAAAGTTCCAGGTGCAGGTGCACTCAAACGCCCGCCAGGCATAACGTTGGCTCAGATACAAGACTGGGTTAGATAGAAGCTTAGCCTTCGAATATTTACCACGGCATTAAATCAGATTAATCAGGCCTCAAACAACGCGTTACTTGCCACGGGTATGAAGCGCTATCAAAAGATACTGAAAAAAATATCAAAAGATGCTGTTTTCAGCGTTTGAATCTGCTTTCTTTGCATACTATCGTCTCAATGACGGCAAAGTGATTCTCACAGATGAGCTACTACTAGAAAAATATAGCTTTATTAGATCCGCATAAGGGCTAAGCGAGAATGACCTACGGCTTTCGAAGGAGTTGCTGCACAAAGTAAGACTTTACACGGCATCCAGCAAAATGGCCTCACTGAGAGGCAGACCCAACTGGCAGCGAATCAAAAAGAGCTTTACGAGCTATTTGGCTAATATCCACCACTGATTGTATTTCATCTCTCTTTAAAGCCTACCTACAATCAATACAATGACAACGGTCACGCAAAACGGAATGGTTTAAAAAAAGGATCATACTACAGTCGCAATGTGCTGCAACTTTACTGGCACCGAGAAGGTTGAAATAGTTGCCATAGGCAAGTCGAAGCAACCGGGAGCATTTCGCAAAGCCAACACTAAGCAAATGAAGTTTGTGTACTTCAACAATGAAAATGCGTGTCAAAACAGGTCAAACTTTGCGAAATGAATATGGCCTTTGGATGACAAGATGCGCGGGAGGCGAGTGCTTCTCCTGCTGGACAACGACTCGTGTCGCTATTTCTTTTTTGAATGCTTCAATGTAGAGCTGGGATTTCCTGCCGCCAGACATGACAACACATTTGCAATTGCTCGACACGAGAAACTAAGTTTAGATGAATGGTCTCTTGATCAGCGTTTTCTCTTGCGTCCTCATCTTTATATAAAAATTGTAGGCCATTTAAATCGCGGTATCAAAAGAGATATTTTCGATGGCTCCTGCATGCAATCCGCACCAGAATGGACAGAGAGTTAAACTTTCTGGAGGCTGTGCGCTTCGCTATATCGAGATCGGGAAAATATCTGGGCAAGTAATTCGTTATTGCTAGACCAAATGTGATATCTTGGAGGCGGTGACTACGGTAAAGCTCATCCAACTACTCGGCTACAACAAACAGATTGGTCAATATGTTGAGGACCAGCTGAACAAGCTCACGGAGGGTTAGACTTGCAACGTCAGTCTCGACGAGCCGATCGAGTTCGACTCAACATTATAGAGCGTGAGGCGGTTGAGGATGACAGTGATGGTAACAGTGCCGATGCGGTGACGATCAGGCCATCCGAGGCTCTAGAAACCTATCTTCGTCTATCATCAGTTCTTTCGCTATCGCACGACAGTGAGAAATTGACCAAGAAGCTGGCAAGTATCACCCTGCACGATAAAGAGCAGCGCTTGATGCGAAAGCCTGTGTGTACCATGGATATATTTCTTAGAATGGGTTGAGATTGAACCTCCATATAAGAGCGATTTATATGAGGAATGAGGTAAAGACGATGCACATTTTGGTCCGCTTTATGGACGGACCCATGTCATCTTTTGTTTCAATTATTTGGCAAAATGTCAACTTACTTTCGCGATGTGTAGCCATGTACCCACTTTATTCGCTCGGCAAAACAATGTAGCCATGTGTTGGTGTTAAACAACGACACTTTCGCAACCATTCGATGGAAAAATATGTGCTGCGTGGGGACGCGGCTGCCGCGTCTGCTATGGCTACAGCTCCGTCTGTGCTGCAGAAGAAGCGGCAGCGACAAACGACGATCCATCACGGCCACAAAGTGGTGTCGCAGGAGCACGTGCAGTACTTGAAGGAGGAGCTGGACGATGCCAAGACGACCGCTACGATGCTGAGCGTTCTCGAGGCACTGGCGAAGCTGTTTGTATCGCTGGAGATGCTCGAGAAGACGCGCATTGGAGTCGCACTCACGCGACTCTTCCGACGAGCTGAGGATGCCGAGGTGCAATGTCGGGCACAGAAGTTGCTGAAGCAGTGGAAGGCACGCGCCAGAACGGCCATGAGACGACGAGTCCGACGCGTTGAGACATACGGACGCAACTACGCTGACTGAGTGATTGGAGCATTGGAATAGGTCTGCAGATGGAAGAAGCGTGAGTTACTTTGGTTGATGACGCAGTGCTGATGTATTGTTAGGAGCGAAGAACGTGCAGCTCTAGTCTTGATATTCGCGAGAGGCTGTGCGTGTCCGATCGGCGACCAGAGTCATTCCAGTACGAACGAGATACCCCAAGAAGCCAAAGTACAGACAACAAGTGCATCCCACAGCAACGAGTCCCGTGACACCAAACGCTAGAGTTTTCAGCTTCGTGAAGATCAAGTACAGATTGACGACGCACACGAGACCAGACAACAGCCAGCTAGTTACCACCATTGCCTTGTTGTTCACAAAGCCTCCCATGATGGCACGCGAGCTCGCGGAGATTAGTACTGGAAGTAAAGCAAATGGAAGCTGGATGGACTGCAGCACGTTGAGCAACTCGTCCATGTGGTCACTATCCGCAGGGGTTTGCTGGCTCAAGATTGCGACAGTCAGTGCAGGAACAAGCGAGACACATCGGGTGAGCGCCACGCGCTTCCACGGTGATAGCTGAAGCTGCAGAAATCCTCCCATGACGAATTGGCCCGCGTAAGTTCCTGTCATGGTCGAGCTTTGTCCTGCAGCCAGCAAACCGATTGCCCAAACGACGTCAGCGTATTGTCCTAGCGTGCCGCTGAGCGCCGTGCCAGCCTGGGATAACCCGATCTCCTGACACAAGCCTTCGTCACCGCTGGCAAGATGGCAGCGCCCGTACGTGTTGTCATGAGCGATAGCTACCGAGACGCAAGCTGTGTTGACCCCGCTGGTGTCGAAAGATGCGGTGCGATCTGGCGAGAAGAACCCCTTTGCAAAGACGGCCAGTACTGCCAAGTTGATCAAGAAGATCACCATCAACGCCAGACAGGTCTCTATCGCAAAAAACTTGTTTGCCTCGCGGACGTTGCGTTCGTTGTGTCGATCCACTTGTCTAGATTGCACAAGGGCTGAGTGCAGAAAGATGTTGTGTGGCATGATGACCGCCTCGATGATGCCCACAGCCTGCGTCACGGCGTAGTGATTCACGCGCGGCACAAAGCCACGCATGACGTCTGCTGATGCAACGTCCCCACGGACCAAGTTGGCGCAAAAGCAGACCAGCATCACCACGATCAACGCGACAAACAGCGCTTCGAGCATTCGGATCCCGTAGCGGTGGAGCAGCAAGAACGTAAAGGTGTCAAAGCCTGTGATCAGACAGCCAAGCCACAGAGGGAAGTTGAACAGCACCTGAAACGCAATGGAGGAGCCCAACACTTCCTGCACATCACTGCCAACGATTGCAATTTCCGTCATGATCCACAGTGTGAGTGACGCCCACCGCGAGAAGACTGTCGTGCACATTTCCGCCAAGTTTTTGCCCGTGACAACACCCAGTCGAGCCGCAAGCAATTGGAGGAAAAAGCCTATTGCTGTAGCGCCACACGGGACCCACGTGAGCTGATATCCGGCATATGCTCCTGCTTGGAGATCGCTCTCGAGGTTGCCAGGGTCCACATAGGCAATGCTCATGAGCCATCCCAGTCCAGCATAAGCCCATAACGTCCGCCAGCTACCGAGAGTACCACCAGTGAGTCACATCACCAGAGCAAAACGAAAAGCTTAATAACGTATACAGTTCATCTAGACTTGCGGTTTCCAGTGTCGCTCAGCGATAGGATCAGCTAGAAAAAATCATGAGCTTTGGTCTTCCTCGAAAGAGTTCTGCTCATCGATTGTTATTAACCCTAGTTTCACACTGCGTGTATGATGCCCTAGCTTGCTTTCGTGAGCCCGCTTAATGTGATTACAGCATTGGGCTATCGCCACAATACATGTTGTACGCTCACTCATAATGTCAAGTATCGATACCGCACGAATCGACTTTTAAACTTGCAACCGGAATGACATCTGCATGTGCTACCACCTACCACGTCCAACACCACTTGTTGTTGCAAATAGACAAAACTAGTGTGAGTCGCCGACGGCCCGTGTTTGATGAAAAGCGCTTGATGTGGTCTACTACATTTGCATCAACGAAGTCTGCAAATATCGTTCATCACGCATCTTGGGCTAAACGTGTGATGTTTGATTCCATACTGGAGCTATCGCGCACGGCTTTTATACGTTCTATATTGACTGTTGTGCACTAGCATCTAGTATCACAGCAGTATTTTGTCAAACAGTGAATTATCGATCATTACGCTTACCCTTAGATGAACACATATAGTCTGACATCAAAACTGCAATCATGCAGCTTTAATGAAACGTCTTCTAGTCCGCACGGAGTCTGCGCTTAAGCTAACAATCGTTCATCGAAGACTTATGAATGATATTGCCAAACCACGACCTGATCCCGCTAAACCAGCCGCCACACGCAGGTTTGCCGGTGCCATTAGCCCCCGGATTTGGTGCAATTGTACCTTCGCTTTCCACGACTTTACCTGGATCAGTCACCTTCGTTTGGGCAACGAACGGGACATCTCCTGAGCCTTCAGCTTCCAACAATAAATCCTTGATGTCCTTCTCTTTTTCAACAGGCGGCGGCGATGACGAGCCAGGCTCTTTCGTCGTTTCCACAGACTTTGACGCGTCGTCTGTATTACTACCACTCGAAGACTCAGCCGACTCTTCGCCAACCACGGACGCAAAAATGTCATCAAATTTACCGTTTCCACTCGTGACATCCGCTTCACTGCTGCCGCTCGTATCGTTGCCCGACCCACTGCCTTCCTTACCAGAGCCCGACGGATCATCAGACTTACTCGCTTCCTCACCTGGGCCCGACGGATCACCAGACTTATTCTCTTGCTCTCCCGAGACCGACGCATCATCTGTGCCGCTGTTGTCACCGCCACTGCCGTCAGAAGCAACGGCCTTGGATCGCTTCTTCGTCGACTTGCCCAAAGCACCGACACCACTTTCGCTCGATGCTTGATCAGCCAAGTCACCTGAACCTGGCGCTGACAAATCGTCGATCTTGCTGCTGCTCGAAGACTCAGCCGACTCTTCGCCAACCACGGACGCAAAAATGTCATCAAATTTACCGTTTCCACTCGTGGCATCCGCTTCACTGCTGCCGCTCGTATCGTTGCCCGACCCACTGCCTTCCTTACCAGAGCCCGACGGATCATCAGACCCACTGCCTTCCTTACCAGAGCCCGACGGATCATCAGACTTACTCGCTTCCTCACCTGGACCCGACGGATCATCAGACTTATTCTCTTGCTCTCCCGAGACCGACGCATCATCTATGCCGCTGTTGTCACCGCCACTGCCGTCAGAAGCAACGGCCTTGGATCGCTTCTTCGTCGACTTGCCCAAAGCACCGACACCACTTTCGCTCGATGCTTGATCAGCCAAGTCACCTGAACCTGGCGCTGACAAATCGTCGATCTTGCTGCTGCTCGAAGACTCAGCCGACTCTTCGCCAACCACGGACGCAAAAATGTCATCAAATTTACCGTTTCCACTCGTGGCATCCGCTTCACTGCTGCCGCTCGTATCGTTGCCCGACCCACTGCCTTCCTTACCAGAGCCCGACGGATCATCAGACTTACTCGCTTCCTCACCTGGGCCCGACGGATCACCAGACTTATTCTCTTGCTCAACTGAGTCCGACGCATCATCTATGCCGCTGTTGTCACCGCCACTGCCGTCAGAAGCAACGGCCTTGAATCGCTTCTTCGTCGACTTGCCCAAAGCACCGACACCACTTTCGCTCGATGCTTGATCAGCCAAGTCACCTGAACCTGGCGCTGACAAATCGTCGATCTCGCTGCCGCTCGAAGAGTGAAAGCTTCCGTAGACGCCCAAAGTCTTCAAAAACTTCTGAAATCCGCCATCTCCGCCCATGTCATCCGGTTTACCGCCGGCAATCATACCACCAGACACGCCCTCTCCTCCTCCTAAGCCCAATGCATCCTCCATGCCGCTGTTGTTGCCGCTACTGCCGTCAGAAGCAACGACCTTGACTCGCTTCTTCCTCAACTTGTTTGCAGCTATCAACGCAGTCTGCTCTTGTGTATAGGACGACCCCTCGCTGTCCAACTTATCTTGTTTCGATGGCATTGTTTCAATATCGAGCGTGTCGGGGTTACCAGCCATAACGTCAAGCTCATTGCCGCTTGACAGAGCGAGGGCTGCTGCCAACACAACATGATGGAGATGCATCTCGCAGACAAACGACAGGTCTAGTAGTAGACTTGTCGAGCCAGACCGCGAATTCCAAATTGTTGATTGAGCGTGGACGAACCAACTGCGCTCGTTCGAAGTCCTTTTGCACTCGACGCTGCGCCCCAGTAAAATGCCCGCACCATGTGGATAAGCTGCTGCGTGTGTAACTCGGGCGTTGTGGTCTCTGTTTGACTTTGTGGGTCTTCGCTTGGTTGCGTCTGAGACCGACGGGGGACAGAAACCAGGCTACTTCGACAGCACGAAGAAGCGGACTGTGGTAAACACGGTACTCGACGCATCGAACAGGCGGACAAGAGCAGCTGTTTTGGGTCGCGTAGGCTTTGGACGTCGTCTATTGCGTAGACTCGAGGGCACGTATGACTTTCGAGCAGATCTACGATCGGGACATCCGATAGCTCGGGTCCATATATTCCGCAAGTGTAACATTTCAACCAAAATAAAGTCAGCAAAACAGCTGCGAGACTGAAAAAAGAGAGACCCCCTGGTGCACTCGGTCGTTTTTCGCTCGTCGCACCTTCGAGTGCGGCGTCGTAAGAAATGGTTGTGCGTCAGTTTGAAACAGCGAGTTGGTCTTGCCGACGACAGACCGAAAGGGCCATTGGATAGCAGCTGACGCAATTGTGTTTCAGCAGCAAAGAAAAGGAGGAAAAGTACACGTAAACTAACACACGATTCTTGTCGACATTGCGTATCCTCCGCATTGCAACAACGGCCGAAGTATCATCAACTGAAACTGTGCCGTACTGCTTGAGCTAATGAGACGACTGAAAAGCTGCGAGAGTGGCGAAAGTTTGAATACCCGATAATGAAAGAAACTACGTGGAAGGAGTAGCATTCAAATTATACACTGATGCAGTACTAATGCCGTCTGAAATACACATGCACGTACAAAGACCGACGGTCACGGGGTGGACCCGTTACATCACATTGACACTGGTATACGTGTCCAATATAAAATAGTCCTGGCGAGCACAATTCAACTACATTGCTCGGACCAATTTTCCAGATACTCTTTTGTTCAAGATCAATATTCAGCCGCAGTTGACGACACTCATTACGTGGATAGGTGTATACGCTACGATGTTCGCAACTAGTCCATGTGCCCGAAAGAGACGCGTACAATTAGTGGTCGGCAAGTAGTTGGCATATATACGTACGTAGCTCGGGAATGTTAACTCACAGTTGATGATTGGTATATCGAAAAGTCGGACTCTATTCTCTGCATATTACTCGTTCACGTTGAGTTTGGGGCACTCATTCGATTCATTGACGCCCAACTATTACACCTCATGTGTACGTGAAGTTGCAGAGCACACGTCTGCACTGGTGTTCGTGTAAATTGCGCTACATTAGCATCAGTGCAAACAAAACAATAGTGCACATTAGATGATACAACTGCAACGATAGCGTCGCACATTAGCCATCGCATTACCGGTGTTTAGGTACCGTGCCGCTTACAGTCAAGTACATGGACCAGTAAGATGTACGAGGTACGTAAACGAGGGTGTGCGAAGAACGAGATTCGGTCTGACGCGCCTCAGCTATACGAGCAAATACATACAGTGATTGTCCTGTACCAGGTCGAGAAAACAGACGTTGAGTTCCTCCGGTAGGGTTATCACCGTAGTATTACCTGATGTTACATATTCACCACGCGTGTTGAGTGGTAAGGGGGTCAGGTGCCTTATAAGGCGTGCTCAAAGCACTTGGCGCTATTGCTTTCGTTGATTGATTTTGCTCCAAAGGCTGGTTGTTTACAAGCCTAACGTTTTCGGTTCCATTCACTTATCTGACTTACTGGGTCGAAGCGCTTTCTTCATGCAAACAAATAGACCTTACGATCTTAAAACGTCCCACTCTGACTCGAGAGCTGGACAACTTATATTTAATAACTGATCCGTGGTCCGTTGCATTGACCGTCTAGACACCTACAGAGAGAGCCGTATCCGGTTGTTAATGTCAAAGAGCTATTCTTTCCTCTCTTTGAACTACTTGCGCGATCTTAGATCGAAAGTTTACGGTTGGTGAGGCGAGAATAGTTGTCTGGGGGTGGTGTCAGCCGTATTAATTATTTGGCGGGACCGCTTGTGCGTTCTGAGGCTGCGCCGAATGCAAATCGCAGTAGGAAAATTGCAATGGCGACATCTTCCTCCTCCTTCTGCTCCCGTAAATACGGACTATATAACGCCTTTGGCGAGGACTGTCGTGAAGTAATGCATACTCACTGAAAAAACACCTCACCGTTGGTCTTCTCAAGAGGTAGCGAATTGTACTTTAAGTAGACTGATGCTAACTGTTTCGACCGCAACAAGAAAGACACACCGGTCAGCTCCTGAATACATCACACCGGTACAATCACGTGCAAGCAAAGTGCGGAGAAATATAGTGCTGCATCACCAACTTACGCGCCACATTTAGCCGCGTGCTAAGAGAAATTTTAAGATGCAAAACAGTAGTGTTTACTAAAAAGCACTTAACTGTCAACATTGGTAGGAAGAAATGCGTCTGAAACAAGGCATTTCATTCATAGGTGTAGCAATTTGTTCAATATGCATTTACAAGACTGAAGATTTATCGAGTCTTTTGCTTGTAAAGGGTAAAAGAATCATGCACACAATGTGGGCTGGTCAGTACGAAACTGTAAATTGGCAAATATCTGACGCAAAGTTTAGTAATTGTCATTTAGAAAGCTGATAGACAGGAGAATAAATTGTCTTGTTACCAGAACTTTTATTTAGTGATATATGTGAAATTTGTGTGTTTTTGGATTTGCAGCCACTATGCTCCTCACAATTCTATTATCGCGTTGAAATTGCGCAATAAGGACGCATTCAAACCTATAATTAAATGTGAAAAATGCATGACAAAGACCGCGACAATCGTCGAACATCGTCGCTGAGTTACAATATGTGTTCTATGTGTGTATACATACTCCACACTTGTAAGGTAAAATTGCACAGTGGGCAAAGTAGTGCCTGCGTGCAATCGATAATTAAATCAAAGTTTCGGTTTTTCCTAAGTTCAATTCAGCTTTCTCCATATCTTTACTGTACAAATTTTATCTGCTTATATAAAGGTACACCTGATAGCCCGACTCGGGTACGCTCGCTACCAGCAAAAGAAACAGCGTTGGCGATGACGAGCCGGTAGGCCTCAGTAAAAGGCCCGTTATCGATAGACGTTTTCGAGTGACGAGTGGGTGGTACCCAGCCGAGGGCACCGTGATACTTCTATTTGGGCGTATACTGCGCCAAGTAATTGTAAAATTGCGTGATGATTCACATTAAACCCTTTGGTGTATGTAAAAAGATGATAGGTTTATAGGCTTCTTCTACAGGACAAATCAATAAACAATCTGGCTGCAAGCTAAAGAATAGGCAAAAACCGCAAATAATACTATAAATGATCAACGCGGATGTAATTATTCGGTTTTTATAGCTCGTTTTGACGAATGATCTCGTCGATTGTTGTGCTTGTAAGTTTATAGCGTATTTCTACGACTTTAACCAATTACTCTACCGCACCAGCCATCTCTGTTGTCTGTATAAGGAGCTAAAATGCACTGGTCCGGTCTTATAAGGCTTTAATATTACCTGACTATCAACGCGTAGACAATTACTGTGCCCTGATGCGATATGTTCTCAATGTTTCTGTATACTGTTGCGTCTTAAGGCTGCTGTAAATATATGGTTGCTTCTAACGCTAGGGACATTTTACGGATATAGGAAGCCCTGAAACTAGAATTTAGCTTCCTCAGATTCCGCGTAGACACCGAATTTCACTCATCAATGCTACGATGCAAATGTAAAAAAAATTCGAGAGCCGAAGCGTTTGAGACCTCTTCACTTTAGACAAAACATAGGCCAAGGTGTGCGTGTCATCTCGAGATTTCGCGTTAAGTTTTTTGCTGACGCAAGTCTAATGTATGCCTTATATTGTACTAGTGAACCTTCTATTGCGAAATATTTCCTTCGTTCGTTCTTTTATTCGTGAATTATGGAAGCTATTATGTAATTTTAGGATGTGCGTATGTGTGTCGAGTGGTGGGCATTAGAGCGAGTTGATATACGCGGATAATGACACCTTTGTAATCTAAAGAAGATGCCGTGGTTCGGACATCGGAAAGAAATGTTATAGCCCAGGCTTTATCAATGTATGCAGATCCTTGAGCGGCGTTTACTTAAGTGTATAATCTCTTTTCAATAATCAGATGCAAAGCGTTGACCGTCAGCTGGTAGCTGCATGTGAATCTGGGAGGAGTACAAGCCAACATAAAGCCAAAAATGGCGGCAATCGATAGTCCTGGGCTATAACTAACGTACTAAATATGGTACACTGACTTATATCTTAAGTCTATTGTCGGCCAGCTGCGAATAAATTAGTTTATTACACGGTGCAGCGTGGTTGTTTGATAGCGCATATAAATTCTAAGGGGTCGTTTTTTTATAGCGAGCTTTAAATAAATTGTACAAAAAAATGCGAACCGTTAATCTTCTCCTAATTTTTTGTTAATATCATCTTAGATTGATATAACGCTACTAGATTAGCTAATTTTAAGGTAAATAATTTCTATATTCGACTGAGAAACGACCTATATCACGTCTGCTCTCTGCAATGTATCTATATGACAAACTCTTTCTTATCTGTCAATCATACATACATGTACAACTTTGCGACAATGAACACTTTCGCGCCTCCAGATGAGTACGTATATGGCACACTGGCTGAAACGAAAAAGACAATATATGAGCACGGTCTCGAACAAGACTACGCAGTACGCGTAATTTTGTAGACCGTAAGGACGGAGACGTAAGGTTCTAAGCCCTCGCATGTTCACAGGCTGGAGCCGCGTTAAGAGACAATAATTGTGTCCGCATGCGCATGTCCGCCAGCCGCAGAGCAGAATGTCC